ATCAAAATAGGGGCAAGACCCTTTTGGGGTAGGGGCGTGTTTGTTTTGGTGATTTCAAATATCAACAATGGCTACCAGAAATCACTTACTCTGCCTTTAACAGTGAGAATTGGTCCCTATACTAAAGTGTTACAGATTTTTTTTTTATGGAATAATTAGACAAAATATTGAAAGAAAAAAAAAGTTATGTGTCTTTTGTTAAGGATCATATTTGATACATCAGGCTTATTGGCTCATTTAGTATGATAAAGGAGAGTACGGATTTTATTCAGATGCCCAAAATAAGCAAAAATATGCACTTTGCAGTTGTGGATATTTATATGGCCAAAAATAAAGATGAAATTCTGATGGTTTAATATCTTTTATATATAACTGAATACCAGACTCTTTACAGAAGATGCATATAAATATAATTTCTATGTAGTTTCCATTGTGGGGGGCAAAAGGTAAAACACAAAATGCAATGCAACACAATGATGATTGAAAGACACAAATGAACGTTCCTAAAAAGCCTGTTGCATCACATTTAATACATACATTTGAACTTTTTTTTAAAATTTTTTTTAATTTCTTTCAAAACTGCCGCAACTGGCTGCAAAACATTATTCATGCTGCAGGTTTTTTTGTAAATAGCAAAAAATAAATACGTAATTTCAAACATTTACAAATAAAGATACAACTATAAGATGCTGAACCAAAAGACTTGCACATTTTCTGTACTATTAAGTGTACCATTACACTCTCACTACTTTTACTTGCTAAAAAAGTATGGACGTTCAATCTGACAACAGACGGCATGTAGAAGACTGTGTACAACAGCTTTTTTGAGTACAAAGTTTTGATCATGGTGATACTTTAGAGGCTTTAGAAATTTGCGTATCAAATATGATACAGTAGGCTTTATAGGGTTAAATAAACAATTTAAATTATGATTAGCTTTTAGCTTTTAGCTTGGTACAGTTTTACAGTGTTGACCAACTTCACCAGCTAAATCACAATGGTTATGAAGGTCAACCAGTTAGCAGCACTAAACTAGCATTAACCAGTTGGCCCGAGTTGGTCTTTTTAGCCGCATATCCATAGAATTATCGAGAAATGTCATGAATTGATTTGTACAAATGCTAAATAAAATAATAATAATATGATAATACTTCCAATTGAAGATGTGGATTCACACATTACCTAAGCAAGAAGATTGTAGGATCAGAGGTAGCCAGGGGCGATTCTAAGATTTTCGTTTTAGGGGGGCTCAGCCCCCAATGAGGGTATAATAATAAAAAATAATAGTAAACATATAAATAAAATAAAAAATGATTGACTAATAGGGTAAGGTGGTAAACTAAACTTATTGCATTTTGCAACTTATTGTATTCCACTGTACTGCATAGATAGGCATAACATTTGAGTACTGAATAAGCCACACAAGTCTTCCTGAATCCTGATCTCTCTCTCTCTCTTTCTCTCTCTCTCTCTCTCTCTCTCTCACACACACACACACACACACAC